CCCCAAAACCCCAAAACCCCAAAACCCCAAAACCCCAAAACCCCAAAACCCCAGAGGACAATAGTCAGGTTGAAATCTGAGAGTTAGCCATTTGGAGTAGTTTTAGGATTAATATTTTCAAATCTGCTTATGAGACTGTTTTTAGTTAGCATCCTCTCCTTCACCATCATTATTTTCATCTTCATCGGAGTGGGAATCAAGATCAGAGAACTCGTCGTCAACTACTCCCAAATAAAACTCAAGAGCTTCTGGGATAAGCTCATTGATAATGTCGTTGGCAAGGTCGAAATCTTCATCAAGCTTGGTAGTCAGCTCATCTTGTTCTTCTTTTGGCATAGCGTCCATTTCTTCATTAGGAGGCATAGTGATAGATTTAAAGAAAGTGAAGAAACTAGCCTGGTCACCCTTCTTCATGACTGTTCGAACTGCACCAGTTTTCTTGTTCTTCTGCTTCTTCTTAACCATTTTCTTGGTAGGATCCTTTCCTTCTCTCCAGTTAATAGAGGAGCTTTCTACCTTTTCAAGGATTCTTTCATCAATCATGTGGTAAACTTTTCTCAACTCTGTATTGGTCATGTATTCATTTTCGCTGAATGTGAAAACGAGCTCATAGCCACATCTGTCTGGAAAATGCTCGCCAGTAATGTTGGCTAAGTGCTTGAGAATTGGCTCATCGTGCTTTTTAATATAGTCTCTGACTAGAGTATGGGCCTTGAGGACCTTGAGCCAGAATCCGGGTACTCCTTGTTGGTCGACAAGATCATCAGTCTTAATCTCTACTGCTGCTCAATCGTCGCCATCAGCATCATTTCCAAGTTCGCTTCTGAGTTGTTCGTGCTTTAAGTCAAACTTGTTAAGGTAGTCGTCTGGGAAGGACTCTCCATTGATGATAGAAAGCCTGAGATCATAAAGCGGGGCCTTAATTTGCTCATATTTTAGATTTAATTTCCGAATTTGTTCCACAGTGTTGTCTTTCTTGCTTGAAATGACCTTGAGGAGTTTGAATCTATCTCTGACATCCTCTGGCATAGACATAATGACTTTGTTCAATCTCTGTTCGTAGTACTGGTCGTCCTTGATCTTATCGTCTGTAGTTTCAACTTCCATATTGGAGTGTAGCAATTATTGTAATTACTTAGGGGTTTTGGGGTTTTGGGGTTTTGGGGTTTTGGGG